CTACTCGACATCTTGACTATGCATCCCCTCTCCTTAGGCTAAGCCCCATAATTCCCTCCCCCGATAAGTGACTCAACCTCTAGGTCAACAGGACTTTCAAAGGTTGTAACATAAGGGAAAGAAGGGTGAGGGTAGGCTAAAATTTAAAATTTGGTGGTTTCCCTAATAGTCAAACAAAGAACAGGCCTTTTCTTTATACCATAACCAAGTAATCACCAAACAAAAACAACAACACCCTCAAGCTTATTCAAAGCTATAAATCACAAACATATACATAAAAAGCGTGAGAACGCTTCCCCCCAAGGTTAAATGGAGCAGTGTCCTCAATGCTCAAAAAGGGAGAATACTCACATCAAAATATTTTTGAATTTTCACATTTTCACTTTTTTTTTTTTTTGTATTTTCATTTTTCAAAGAAATTGTCCTCGCCTCTTTTAACTATGAACGACTCTTTTAATTTTGTATTTATTATGTCCTTGCCTTTTTCAATTTTGGACGGCTTTTTCACATATTCTTTTGCCATTATTCACACAAAAATCACAACAAAAACTTGCTTTCAAGAGAACCAATAATCCAAACTCCTCCACCTCAAACTCCAACAATAATGATCAATTGCTTCACAAAAACCAAGAATGGGTACAAAAATGAAACAAAAGGCTCAAAATCTAAAGATGTGGCTTGAAAAGAAGGTAAAAGGCTCAAATGGTTAGCAAGTAGGCAAATGAAAACTTAAAAACCGAAAATGAAACAAACTATCCCAGAAAAGAAAAATTAGATCCCTGAAAAGATGTCTTTGTCCTCTCTAGAATGGTTCAATCTCAGGCTTAAGAATCATAAATCAAGCTTCTAGATTTTAGGTCTGTGATAGTCAAGGATCCATGTCGCTCATGTAAATATATGTTGAAGGCTTGAAAAACAATGAGCCTCACATGGATGTAGCAAAAACTCACTATTGGTGTCAAATCAACTATATGAAGCAACTACCAATCATGCCATAAACAAGTAGAATCCGGATTCATGGTCCCACTAGTTCTAACCAACTACCTTAGCATGCTTTATCCTAGAATGAACCTAGCATACTCTCAAACCGTGCACACCGTTACCATTTAGGAAGAAAATAATTCAATCATACAAGTCTAAATGTTACTATGTCCAAAGCAAGAACAAAACAAAACACATTGCAAATTTACCTTGATAGAAAAACAAATCTTTTTGGAGTTTTTCAAAATAAAAGAACATAGAAAAGCATATACAAAGGTGCATAGAATATATGAATCAACATCCCACCAAACATGATAGAATACCCTCCCCCAAGCTTGAATGAGAAAATACACTCAAACATAAATCAAATAATCCATGGGAGGGGAAAACAAGGAGATCAAACCAACAAAACAACACATGTCCAACAAGTCATCATCCACTAGAGAAAGAGCAAGGAAAGATATTGCCGGATTTGGGGTAGGTGTAAATACCCGCAAATGACCCAATTTAACATTTCAAATCTAATTTCTCAAGAATTGTACCTTGTTTCCATATGCTTGCAAAAATAGGAGTCAACCTTCTGATGGGCATTATCTCCTTTTCAAGGTTGGCGATTTGGGAAGTCAAATTGTTGATGGCATTAAGGTGATCAACGGAGTAAACCACATTTCCTCCCTTATTTAAAGACTCTCTCTCTCTCCTTCTTGCCAATCCATGTGGTGCCTCACCACATCCTCAATTATCACTATGACTTGCTCCTTCGTTTTGTTAATAAACTGGCCACCCGCTCCCGCATCTAGGCTAGTCTTTCCTTGTGGGCTAAAGCCCCCATAGAAGATTTGGAGCACTTGGTATGTCGGAATGCCATGATGGGGACACTCCCTTTGATATTCTTTATACCTCTCGCAAGCCTCATAAATGGTTTCACTAGCCCATTGACAGAAACCTTGTATCAAAGCCCTTGCCTCGACCGTCTTGTATTGAGAGTAGAATCTCCCTAAGAAAGTCATGGTGACCTGGTCCCAAGTTATCAAGGAGTTCTGCCTTACTTCTTTTTCAAGCCATTCAAGAGCCCTTCCTATCAAGGAGAAAGGAAATAGCTTTAGTCTCACAAATTCTTGAGTTACCCCATTTACCTTGATCGTGTTGCAATATTTTCAAATTCGTTCAAATGTGCAAGAGGGCTCTCATGTTTTGCTCCACTAAATTGCCTCCTTTCGATCAAATTTATCATTGCGGGGTGTATTTCAAAATCATTGGCTTGAGTAATGGGTGGAGCAATGCCACTTGAAGCTCTATAAGTTCCCGGAGCTCCCAACTCCTTCAAAGGTCTTTGGACCGGTTGTTCCTCGCCAGCCATTTGTTCTTGTCTTTCCTCAAAATTGACCTCCCTAGTTGAGGAAGTAGTTAATGGCCTAGAACAGCTATCATTCTCCTCCTATAGGTTTGCTCAATCTCGGGATCGTAAGGCACAAAAATCCTATTATGATTTCTGCGCATACACTCACAACAATTGCAATTAGTAACGAGGCTACAAGTGTAGCTGTAGACACCCATTTGTGTCTCCCCAAAACCAAACCCAGTGATGAGTACCTTTCGTGTTGACTCATAATCGAATGAAACGAAAGTGTGGAAAGATCTAGTGTTGCGGATAGTTTTATTTCTTTTCTCTTCTCTCTGTTTTTGAAAACTTTATTTTAAGAAAACAGCCAATCCAGTTTGGTTGGTCCATGATATGGGTCCAATAATAGTGTAGTTGGATGGGGCTTGCAAAGACCTTTCCAACGATGTATTATAAGCCCAATTCCGATGAATATTGAGGAAGTTATGGCCAATTTACTAAACTAGGCCCGGTTTGAGCTTTATGTACGGCCCAATGATCTAGGGGAGGGCCTAATATGATTTATCATTCCTAATATAATTAGGAATGGTTTTATTCTTCTAGAATCTTCTAGAAGGTTTTTTTCATTCCTAATTCAATTAGCATTGATAAGTTGACTTTGTTGACTTTTCAGAGTTTTAATCAAAATCAAATAGCATTTTCGAAAAAATTATATTATTTTATCTTCCAGTACGGTAAACTTATCGGATTTTCGAAAACGTGTTAGAATCAAGACTGGCGTCCAACCCCAGGCCTTGGCACCTGGAACCAGGCTTGGCGCTAGGCGCTAGCCATTGGCGCCTGGCGCTAGCCACTGGTGCCTGGCGCCAGCTAGCCAGGGTTGGCGCCAACCTCGTTTTGCGTGTGTCAGACTCTGTTTTGTTAAATTATCTTTTTTGGCTGATTTTCTCTATAAATATCGTATTAAAAATTCCGTTTTGATTCACCTACAATCATTAATTCTCTAATTCTCGCTTTAATCATACACCAATTCTATTCATTCGCAAGCTTTCATCAACAATCATTAATTCTTTAGCATTCTTTCATTCATCTCTTTCTTACTTTGTTTTCATACAAAATTCCGCATTCACAAGATCTAGAAACACCTAGTCATATTCGAAGTTGCCTTCGCCCTAGACGTGAAAGGTTTAATTTATGAGGGTTTGGTCCCAAATCCCTATTTCAATTATTTAATTTAGTTGTTTTGATTGTTATTTTCCTTGAAGTTACTAACGTGTGTATTTTGTTATTAGAAAGAGGTACGAGGCATCAAAGTAAGTAATTTAATGGTTTAATTGATTATGATGTAGAAATCATGTTTATATTGGTATTATGATATTCCTAGTATCATGTCTAGGGTAATTTTAATATTAAATATGATTGTTATGATGTTTCCTATGTTCTTCCTAATATTTTTGATTGTTAGTATCATGTTAGGGTTAAAGGTTTGATTTTTATTGCTTAGTGACATGCTAGGGTTTGTTATTAATCTTGTTAGTATCATGCCTAGGATCTTGCTATTTCTATTGTGTTTTAATATTAACATGAACATGATTATGATTATAATTGTTATAATTCATGATGATTATGAATATTATTATTATTTTGATAACGATTATAATTATTGTTGTTGATTATTTATTATGTTGCTTGATTTATTGTTATTTGTTGCTTGATAACACCTTTTATGCATGTTTTAAAGGGAATTGTTACTTGTAATCACGCTTAATAAGATAATTAATAATCTTGTTAGTGTTAATTGTGATTATAAATTCAAGTGATCGCCAATAATAGATTAATATTTGCATTAAATTCAACCAACATAGATAAACAGGTTTAGGGTTAATCCTATTGATTGCATGTTAATTAAAAAGCGCACATGAATACGATCAGAATAAAGTAGAGGCCTATTATTAAATATGATTCAAAATAAAGATTCAAAAACGAGGTTGCACACCTTGGGGGCTTATCTAGGGTCTTGAGCCTTTATCCCCTTCTTCTATAACCTTTAGCCTAACCACGTTACAACCCTTAAAAGACCTTTTTGAGGTGTGCACACTTGTGCGAGGTTCGGCTACAGCTACGTTCGGCCTGATTCCTAACAGATACGTAGGCAACCTCACATCGAGGTGCAGCCGTATTAAAATGCATTCATATTCACATTCACACACTTACACCATGATCATATCAAGGGATCTCCAATGCTCATCCCTATTCACTTAGAACTAGAAAATCCGTCCTTTTTAGACGTTTTTCAAGCTATTTTTCGACGCTAAAAAGCGTCGAAAATATGTGAGTCGAGAAAATTAAACGTCACAAAAAAGCGTCGCAAATCTCGACGCTTTAAGACGTCCAAAATTTTATACGAAGCGTCGTAATTTGCAGTTTTGGCACACTTTCTCAAGTTTATCGACGCTTTTTTGTGTCTGAAACCTCAAATTTGGCGACGCTTTATTGTGTCCATAGTCTCACATATTAGATGTTTTATATTTTTGCGACGCTTATTTCTGTCTATATTCTCATTGTTTGTGACTTTTTTTTTTTGTCCAGATTCTTTACAAAAATATCTAGAATATAATTACCAAAAAAATTATTTCACACTAAAAATTTACTAGTATATACTAGTATTACCAATAAATACACAGCAAAATTAAGCCAATTTTGTTATTGCATATAAATATGTTATAGTACATGGACAATATCTCATTGTAATGAGTTTGCTATTAGGTAGTACAAGAAATATAATTCCAACCTACACTTCACTCATGACTAGTACGTACTAGCTAGTGGAATAAATCTGCTCATTTCTTCAACAAAAAAAAAAAAAATAACTTCAATCAATCGATCTCCAATTAGCTCCTCCTTAATCTTCTTGCAAGGGGCGTAAAGCAAAGTTCATATTGTTTCGAATCATTGTTGGCCTTGAATACACAAAACACCCTTAGATGTTTGTAGATCCTCATCATCATGGACTAACAACATTAGCAACAATATTATGGAGCAACAACGCAAGATGGAGCTTGATCAGCATCCTGTAACAACAACATCAATCTTAAACACCACAAAAATGTAAAGTTGTTTCACAATAGCGATGAAAAAATCCTGCAACAGCAACAATATCGATTAAAAATGTAAAGCTCTTTCACAAAAATGTAAAGCTGTTTCACAACATCCTGAAACAACAACAATATTGATGAAAAATTCTAGTTAAACTAGAATCTGTTTCACAAAAATGTAAAGCTCAAAATTAAACACCACAAAGATCATGTCCAAGAAATGCAATTTACCATAGCTCTTCAGCAAAGTAGAGTTTTCAGCCTACAATTCTATGTAAGAAGCCAGTCTCTCAGTTAGGAAAATCTTGGAGTTCATGTAACAGTAACAGTGCCGTCCTCAAGCTGTAATACTCATGGCATGTCTAAACAAAAACAAAAGCAAAACACTACCCAAAATTAATAACAGTTCACAATAATGGGAACATAGGGAGCAGAAACAATTGGAACAAGCAAGCACTCCAAACAAGCAGCATAGTTATAACGAAAGCAATATTTGAACAGTAAATGCAAATTAATACAGCCAAAATAATGAAGCTGAGTATTTTAGAATCTAACACTAAATCTGAAATAATTCATCTGCAAATAACAAAAATATCAACATCAAGAACTCTTCTTATTCAGAAAATTGAATTCATCCCAGTTAAGTTGAGAAATCACCAATAATAAATCACATCAAAGAAAAAAATAGAAAGCAAAGTTTCATATCAGTTTCAGATATTACTACTCCCTAATCACCTATAAGTTTATTAAGCTACATAGCAAAAGCAAAACTATTACACTTATTTAATTAATTTAGAGAAAAAACTCTATGTATAAATAATATAAGGGTTAATTAGTGAGCATATTGAAATTTAAATATCAGTCAAATACAATCAAATTCCACCAAACTAATCACCTCGATCTTGTGGAAGCGAATCAAAATATAACTGCTCTATCCCATTAGAGTGATTAAGCCTAGTTATCTAAACTCAATACACAACAAATTACAAATTGATACTTAAAGCCTTTTCCAAATGAGGGATGAAATATTGTTCCTTTATTTGTGGACTGATTACAGATGAAGAAACTATCTCTCTGGAATCTCATTTTGCAAAAACCAAATATAAAAATAAAAATAAAAATACTTAAACAAGGATCTCATATCAAAGACAAACTTTTCACACAAAAAGGTACTGTAAACTTTTTTTTGTTTTTTTTACGGCGGGTTCTCATATCAAAGACCAAACTTTACACACAAAACAATATATTTATCACCTAATTATTATCACAAAACATTCAACCTGATGGCCATAGTTTGTGACAAAAAGAAACTGTAAACAAAAATGTGATAAAGCCATGTCCTAGGATTTAAAATAAATAAAAATAAAAACATACATCAATAGCATGCTGCTCTATTGGCAGCCCAAATGCATCCTATCGCATTGGGTGCTGAACATTGGGTGCATTGTTCATAAAGTCAGCCTGAGTAAGAAACTTAGTTCACTACCTAATAATACCATTGAGATATTTAACCATTTATAATCTAAATTACGAGTGACATCAAATTTCTAACTAGGGAGATAGTTTACAAAGATACCTAGTCATTTCTAATGTATGAGAAATCAAGCATTTCAAACAAAGATCAAGCAAGGGATCATGATAATCTACAACTCCTCAGCTCAATATACTACGGAGTAACGTTTTACATTTTACATTTCACATTTAACTCATGTCATCATTTTGTTGTATAAAATAACAATGCACTATTAATCCCACCCCTAATTTCTCGTTTCTACACAACAGTAGCTTTCTAGGGTGAAAGCGACGCCCATACAACAAATCGAGCTTCAAGGATTGTAACATAAAGTGAATATACAGTAAAAAAAAAAAAAATTAAAAAAAAACTTTCTATCACTACCTTAATGAACAATATTACAAGCTAAACCCAATTAAAAATATTGCACCAAGAAATGTCATCATCGGTATCAATCATTCTAATTTGCTGCAATTAAACCTCACTTGAAGAATGCATGCACTATACAGCAAAATAAAATCTACAAGTTCACTGCTAATTTCCATGATACATGTAGGCCATTTGTTTCATAGTGGAGCTTTGCATTTTCGCAAAAATTAAAACTAGAAAGAGGGCAATCATCTACATGGTGTTTCTGCAGTTTCTAGTTTAAATAAAGCTTATTAACGTCTGAACAATTACAGTGCATTTCAACCATAAACTGCAGTTTTCATGCAAGTTAATTCCTAAGACAAACCGGATAAATAATGCATCAATATATCTCTAAGACTCTAAATAATCATGTAAACAATATTTAAATTCCACTTTATTTTTTTCGAGAGTGGTTGTTTCTGCTTGTTCAATTTGGAGCCCCAAGTCCATTAACTTGCTTCCCAAAGAACTCAACTTTCCCACTATATCAATCACACCTTACCCACCCCAAGCTTTCTTCACCCCAGCTTCACAAGATTAAACTAACAACCACCTGATTAGTTAAATCCCAGAAAATTCAAGCCTAATCTACACAATTTCAGAGATAATAACACCCAACAGATCAAGAAAGAAGAGGGAATATCTCTGTTACTAGTTAAGTTACAAGGAATACGAAAACAAAGGATCATACTATCAGAACAATTATGAGATAACTAAAATGATAACTTTGACTCAATATATCTTAATTAATAACTCCAAGATATTGTAGCAAGCAGCGTCGGAAGTTGTGCGATGTGCAAGAGGTGGATCGGAGGAGACTGAAGCTATTAGTACAAAACAAAAATCGGGAATTTTTTTAATTGTACGAATTGAAGTACGAATGCAAAAATCGGATTATTTATAACACAAAGAATTGAAAATGAGAGGAAAAAAAGAAAAAAAAAATTGAACCTAGAACAACTTCAACAACATGATCTGGAAAAATTTGAACTTAAGATAAATTACTTTTAAAAATCCTAAAAATGTAAACTTGAGAGAGGAAAAAATTCAATACCTCTTATAATTAGACGATATTGGAGCATCATAGAAGCTTCATATTGAAAAATTATCTGTCCCATTGTAACACAATTTCAACCGATAAATCCCAAAGAACCAAAACAATCGGTAGAAAAACACAACATTAAAATAAATTTAGATTCAATTGAACAAAAAGAAACCACATATCAAGATAAATAAAAGAAATTTCAGTGAGATATAAGCAAAAAACTAGCAAAATCAATCGATAACAACAGCAAGGATGTTACTACAACATGAATTGAGTTGACGATATTGACGAAGAGATGCGATTTTCACAGTTTTCTAGCCGAATTCACTGAATCTCGATGTCTTTAGAGATGAAATGTGAATATTGGAGAAGGGTTGGCGGCGAATTAGGCTTCGTTGTGAAAGAATCAGAGAGTTTACAGGGGTTATTTTGTGTAGAAGGGCGGTTAAGTTTTGAGTGGGCTGAAAATTATGGTCACGTGCAAAGCATGTAGAATCCTCGATGCCTTTCATTGTCCACAAATTTCTAGACTAGAAAATGCGTCGACTAAACACGGAGTTTACAATTTCATGTTGACGCTAAGAGGCCAGCGTCGAGAGTAAACCGTCCAGAAATCACGGGATTTGTAGTAGTGAGCATAAAAATATAAAGATTCAAAAACGAGGTTGCACACCTTGAGGGCTTATCTAGGGTCTTGAGCCTTTATCCCCTTCTTCTATAACCTTTAGCCTAACCACGTTACAACCCTTAAAAGACCTTTTTGAGGTATACACACTTGTGCGAGGTTCGGCTAGAGCTACGTTCGGCCTGATTCCTAACGGATACGTAGGCAACCTCACATCAAGGTGCAGCCGTAATAAAAATGCATTCATATTCACATTCACACACTTACACCATGATCATATCAAGGGATCCCCTGTGCTCATCCTTATTCATTTAGAGCTAGACTTGAGGGCTTGATCCCTACATCATTAGCTTACCTAGCCTAAGAGTCACCACCATTTGAGTCTTTTCAATAATATATTTTCCCACACACTTAGCTCTTGCGGCCTAACTTTAGTGTCACTATCACACACATCACGCATACATGACCAAATATATTTCCCTTAGGAACCCTTTGTCATGAAATCTTAACGCTGAAGCATGCTTCGTCAAAATTACTCATAATTGTCATTGCATCACGAAGCATGAAGTGCTTAGCCTCCGTGCCTAAGTTACCCAAATGCTTTCATCATTGAGTCAACAGTTGAGATAGCCTAGGATGAATTAATCCTTGAACCTTGAGAGATAGTATCAAACAACATTTGACTAAGCTCATTCAACATGCATCTTCAAACTTTTGATTTTCTTTTTCACGTCTTTCTTTTTCGGGAGAAAGTCGGTACCCTCCACAAAATTAACGGAAATTTTTTGCTTTTTTGCATTTTTCGAGTCGCACGATCACATTACAATGCACACACTTCGAGTCGAGTCAACCTCGAGTTAGTCAATCACGGAGAGTCAAGTTTATACCTTGAGTCGTGTCAAGTCGATGAGTCAATCAATGCTAAACCTTAGGTCAACCCTAAGATAATTAAAGAAATTGGTAAAGTTATATAGTCAAAATAGGTACAGGTGCAGCAGAACAGGGAAGACCCTATCACAGCGTTCGGCGACAGAGTCAATTCTTGGCGCCAGAGATATTTCAGCAGCGACAGAGCTCGAAGCCTCTTAGAAAGGTGATTTCGACTTCATACAGCAAATTTAGGTTCCTTGGTGCGCCAGTTAACCCCTATAAGCAATTTGACATGATTAAGTAGTTAGTTTGATTACAATCACAATAAGTGGTCGACCTGATGAAAGATCGTCTCACTTAGCTTGAAGCGCCTAAGAATTGGCTCATCACGGAAGCACCGACATACTGGTTTTAGCGGAATAAAGTTCAGGCGAGCTTTAGAGATTGACAAACGTTGGTCTTCGGAAATTTTTTTCTTCAAGACATTATCGCAACAAACGTTCAAGTACCGAAGCTCTATTATTCAGAGACGCATGAACATTTCCATCAGAAGCTCTTTTGCTCCAGAGACGGGTGGGCATATCATCAAAGATCTTTTGTTCAGAGACGCGTGGACATTTCATTCAAGCTCTTTTGCTCCAGAGACGCGTGGACATTTCATTCAAGCTCTTTTGTTCAGAGACGCGTGGACATTTCCTATTTTCAAGCTCTTTTGTTCAGAGACGCGTGGACGTTTCCTATTTTCAAGCTCTTTTGTTCAGAGACGCATGGACATTTCCTATTTTCAAGCTCTTTTGTTCAGAGACGCGTGGACGTTTCCTATTTTCAAGCTCTTTTGCTCAGAGACGCGTGGGCATTCTATTATTAAACACTTCGTTCATAGACGCGTGGACACATCATTCAGAATATCATATCAAAAAGAAGCTCTTTGTTCAGAGGCACGTGAACATATCAAAAGAAAGCTCTTTTTTAAGAGACGAGTGAACATTGAAACAACAAGGTGGTGTTCCCTAGATTATGGAGAGTTGTCACAAACAACTGAGGGTTGTTTCAAGAGAAGCAATCTTCGATAGTATTCCCTTGGACGTGGAATATTATCAATGCGAATGGAGATTGTTTCCAGAGAAGCAATCTTCGATAGTGTTCCCTAGGATGTGGAGTACTATCATTGCGGAGAGGATGGTTTCAGGCGAAGAAATCTTCTAATTTGGGAGCAGTTACAGGCGTAGCGGTTTTCAAGAGGGATGTCATTCTCTAGCTTGCAGGAGGTCATCAAAACAACAGTAAAGCGGCAGCAAATCGGTTACTTTCAGAGACGTGTGCTTGACGGTGCAAGATACGCGTTTCTTAACTCTTCTATTTGTTTAACTAACGCTAGTTTTGCAGGTATCGGCGTTGCAAGATTGATTTAGGATCGCAGAACGTTCTGAATCATTTTCCGTCCCTATCGATACTTTGGCTTTTGTTTTTCGAAACTTGCGTTTCTCCAAACTTAGTCAAAGTGGGGGCTTCTGTAGACACTCATTTGTGTCTCCCCAAAACCAAAACCAGTAGTGAGTACCTTTCGCGTCGAATCATAATCGAATAAAACGAAAGTGTTGAAAGGTCTAGTGTTGCGGATAGTTTTATTTCTTTTCTCTTCTCTCTGTTTTTGAAAACTTTATTTTAAGAAAACAGCCAATCCAGTTTGGTTGGTCCATGATATGGGTCCAATAATAGTGTATTTTGATGGGGCTTGAAAAGACCTTTCCAACGATATATTATAAGCCCAATTCCAATGATTATTGAGGAAGTTATGGTCAATTTACTAAACTGGGCCCGGTTTGAGCTCTACGTACGGCCCAATGATCTAGGGGAGGGCCGAACATTAGGAATGGTTTCAGTCTTCTAGAATCTTCTAGAATGTTCTTTTCATTCCTAATTCAATTAGCATTGATAAGTTGACTTTGTTGACTTTTCAGAGTTTTAATCAAAATCAAATAGCATTTTCGAAGAAATTTTATTATTTTATCCTCCAGTACAGTAAACTTATCGGATTTTCGAAAACGCGTTAGAATCAAGACTGGCGTCCAAACCCAGGCCTTGGTGCCTGGAACCAGGCTTGGCGCCAGGCGCTAGCCACTGGTGCCTGGCGCCAGCTAGCCAGGGTTGGCGCCAACCTCGTTTTGCGTGCGTCAGACTCTGTTTTGTTAAATTATCTTTTTTGGCTGATTTTCTCTATAAATATCGTATTAAAAATTCCGTTTTGATTCACCTACAATCATTAATTCTCTAATTCTCTCTTTAATCATACACCAATTCTATTCATTTGCAAGCTTTCATCAACAATCATTAATTCTTTAGCATTCTTCCATTCATCTCTTTCTTACTTTGTTTTCATACAAAATTCCGCATTCAAAATATCTAGAAACACTTATCCATATTCGAAGTTGCCTTCGCCCGAGACGTGAAAGGTTTAATTTATGAGGGTTTGGTCCCAAATCCCTATTTCAATTATTTAATTTAGTTGTTTTGATTATTATTTTCCTTGAAGTTACTAACGTGTGTATTTTGTTATTAGAAAGAGGTATGAGGCATCATAGTAAGTACTTTAATGGTTTAATTGATTATGATGTAGAAATCATGTTTATATTGTTATTATGATATTCCTAATATCATGTCTAGGGTAATTTTAATATTAAATATGATTGTTATGATGTTTCCTATGTTCTTCCTAATATTTATGATTGTTAGTATCATGTTAGGGTTAAAGGTTTGATTTTTATTGCTTAGTGACATGCTAGGGTTTGTTATTAGTATCATGCCTAGGATCTTGCTATTTCTATTGTGCTTTAATATTAACATGAACATGATTATGATTATAATTGTTATAATTCATGATGATTATGAATATTATTATTATTATTATTTTGATAACGACTATAATTATTGTTGTTGATTATTTATTATGTTGCTTGATTTATTGTTATTTGTTGCTTGATCACACCTTTTATGCATGTTTTGAAGGGAATTGGTACTTGTAATCACGCTTAATAAGATAATTAATAATCTTGTTAGGGTTAATTGTGATTATAATTCAAGTGATCGCCAATAATAGATTTATATGTGCATTAAATTCAACCAACATAGATAAACAGGTTTAGGGTTAATCCTATTGATTGCATGTTAATTGAAAAGCGCACATGAATACGATCAGAATAAAGTAGAGGCCTATTATTAGGGCAGTTTCAATCTCTTTTAGGTTGGATTTGTACCTTCATCCCCGAACCCTTATTTGGTTCATGACCTTATGGAGTTGACGATCTCTTGGATCGTTAAGGGGTGTAACCTTCACCTCGTGAACGGTTTACAAGTTCCTTAAAAACTTGTTGGCAACTCTTTTGCTCTATCTTCTTCCCTTTTGGACGCCACCTTACTTTAGTGTATGATCACAGTGGGGTTCAAGCTAGTGGGTTTTTAAAATCTTGATATTATTCCCTACAGTAGCCAAAAAGAAACACACTCTTTTTGAATTTTTGTTGTTTTATGGTGAACTAGACTCAAGTAATCAATTAGCAGTCAACAACACCGTTCCCCGACAACGGCGCCATTTTGATGGGCGTTAGATAGGTCTCACATTCCACACTTAATCAATCACATTTATTAACAAACACCTTACAAACCAAGCATAATGATAAGTAAGAGTTTAGTCCACAAGGAACAGGATATGGTTGCTAAAGATCTTAACACTTAAGCTAATTCGAAGTCTATGTCAATTGCGGTTCGTCAAGTAGACAAACAAACTATGATTCTAAATCGATGGATTGAAGACACTAGGGAATGGGATCCACTCAACCAAGGCAATAAGGCAAACGGGGAGTAAAATAGACAAGGTATAGCAAGGACAATATGTAAAATCGACCTCATGCAATTAGAAAACAACTCACACTACTTAACTTAGATTCCTCATTAGTCTAGCAATAGATGATACATAATCAAATTGTAATAAGAAATGACATACTCAATTTACATTCCCATGTCAAACTAAGC